CGTGACTTGCTCATCTTTTAGCAACCACAAGTCCTATTGAGAAAGATTTTCTTTATTAACAGTAACAAAAATAATATATATAAATGTATTAATTCGTGTATCCATATTATTGGCTGAAATATTGTCGCAACTCATAAATATATTCACAAACTGTGATAGGATTTGACTCTTTTTAATTTGCTCTACTCGCCTATCTGTTTAAGGGTCTTCATTTTTTAGAGGATAAACAATGGATTTATACATATCATTTTGACCTATTAACTGAAATTGTGTCTTTCTAAACGAATTGCTCTTAATCTTTTTGAAGCACTCTTAGGTTTGAGCTGAGGTCAAGATATATCTGACCTTTTCGATGAGATATCTGGACAATGTACAGAAAAGCTCGCTACTTAAACGTATATTATTTTCTGTAATACTATGCATCTCTTTCAGTTACATATCCTTCTGTGTATGCACAATCTCTCTGCCCTAGTGAAGATGAAGAAACGTCACAGCAAATTGTAAACCATACGGCGTCTTTTTGAATGTAATGAACCAAATATTATTTCAAACCTTTAAAGTGAACTAGTTTCCACTAAGTAAAGAAAATGAGATCTGTATTCAATCTGTCTAAGATGAGCTGAGAAGAAGACTTTATTCTCTATCGCATTTCACTTCGTCATGTCTCCCAAAAGGCTATATTTACCCTGCTGAACCACAGTTTCGACCTCGCCTGAGCTTCATCAGCATCCTAAACGGAATTCTAATCTTAAATGTGCAAGTTGGCGAGTCTGGCTGCCGCCTCATCCGGGTCTCATCAGCTCTCCGGGTAGTAGTCGAAGCCGGTCTTTGCTTTTGATCGACAGGAACTGGCGACGGATCCATATTTCTCGTCAAAGCAAAGCGAAGCGATCTCTTAGGTCTGGAGAGTGCAACCCATTCGCCACGACAAGTGGCTATTTATGTGAACAAAGCTTGTATTTGTCGCCTCAACAATCGAGAATATCGGTCGTCATTATTGATCCTTTAACTATCAGTGCTTCTTATGCTGCACATTATTCCTTTTCTCCGAGTCCCCGGTGAGAGTAATGACGACTCATTCAACCTGACTCAATAGGCTTGTGCACAACCATAAGCGAATCAGAAAAACGCACATAGTCAAGGCCAAATTAGGATTAGGTCTAGAAGGGCACTAGCAAACTCTGTCGCCTAACTCTGGGTATGGAGACAAGAATAATCCTCTCTTCATACGTCATTTATGCTTGTTTGTCCATCTATACCCGTCTGCGCAACCAAGTCTATCCATCAACCAGCCCATTTCGACCTGTCTCCAAGTCGACCATGTATTCATGAGTCTGTTTGCATGTGTGTCTGAATCTTTATCCCTGCTGTTGTGTTCGCATTTCAGCTAGTGTCTCTGCATGTCTGAGCGTATACGCTCACATGAAGATCTGTCTGCAGATCTGTATGTCTGCTTGTATGTAAGGCCCGACGTTGTGACCATCTAAACCCATTTGCTGTCTTATTGGCCTACATGAATATTGGCTATCAGATAGTCCAGCTGACGCCTGCAGCACAGTGCACGCTTGACTATGTACAGACGACAAAATAAAAAAGGGACACATGGGCGTTGGGCTTCTGCCTTCCAGACCAATCAGTCTTTTGGATGCCGGGCTGCATCAGTCCGCTTTCGCTCTGCTCCCCTCCCAACGATACGAGCTTTGTCTTATTTGCCCCTTGCTGATAGCCCCGATGAGGCAGGCTCGTCCGATCTGAGGAAGAGCACGCGTTCTCCCGCAGTGCTACTTCACTTCACGGACATCACAAAGTCGCCTTACGATTTTGGCTTCGGGCGGTAACCCCAACTGACCGGACCATTTTGACGTCCATTGGGCGGCAACCAATTCTGCTATTGCCGGATTCCCATCTGGAGGCTAAATTTGGCTATGGCTTTCTCTGACGACTTTCACGACCGAAGGAGAATGTTGGATGGCCACAGTGACCAGGTCGATGCGACCTCGGTTACCGATGGTCAGCTACTGGAGATGGTTGCCAGATGTGGGAAGCAGCCAGTTGAGGCTGAAAACAACATAGCCACCCACAGGATGTTGAACAAAGGCGGCGGAGATATCCAAGAACAAGCGACGAGCGAGGCTGATGGTCTGAGGGTAGGCGGCTGTGCTGTCTGCTGCGCAACCCTAAAGTCCAGTCTCGAGGTCTACGCGAAAAAGGTCAGCAGAGGAGTTGTACGGCGCAAGAAGTTTTTCGCCGATTCAGGGGATCGTCTAAATACTAAGCTGAATCGCTGCCTCTCTACGATGGACCTTATCGCGTATGGAATAGGTAAGGCATCTTCTGGAGAATCAGTAAGAAAGTGCACAGCCGAAGTAAAGCTTTTCGTATTGAAAATGCACAATTAATATCTTAGTTTGCATATTCACGAAGAAAAGTTGGTTTATTTGGATCGGGGTTGTAGATTTTTCAGCAAGCTACAAAACAATCTTGAGTGCTAAGATTTTAGCTTAAGTAAAAACTACTGTAATCTCCTAAAATCTTCTACTTCAT